ATACTAATTTTCTGTTTAAGGAGTAGTTGGCAAAAGAATCTACCCATTCTGTAGGTGGCCTCTTTATTCTGTTGGCTGTATATTTTGCTGAAGTTTCTTAACTTTATATGATCCTGTTGGTTGATTCTTGGTATTATATCTTGTGCAGTTGGGACTCTGTTCAGGAAGTCCTTGCCTATGCCTGTATCTTAAAGTTTTTACCAATATTTTATTCCAACAGATCCAGTATCTCTATTATCATATCTAAGTCTTTGATTCATTTTGATTAGATTTTAGCACAGGGTGAGAGATAGGGGTTTTGGTTTATTTTTGTGCATGTGGATAACAAATTTTCCTAGGAAAGTTCATTAAAGAGGTTATTTTTTTTCCCTAAAGTATATTTTTGATCTTTAGTCAAAAATTAAGGACTGGGCTGGCCAGATAGCTCAGTGGACTAAAATGCCTGCTTACGCAGAGCACAGGGACTGGAGTTTGATTCCCAGCACCATGTGCCAGTCTCAAACCCGGGGCATGCTGAGACAGCCTTTAAGACTGGGTGTGGTGGAGTAAGCCTGCAATCCCAGCGCTTGGGTGGCTGAAAACAGGAAGATCACTAAAAGTCCAATAGTCCAATCTATGTAGTGAGGCCCTGTAGACCCTGTACCAAATACATTAAAAAAAATAATGGCTGAAGGACAGGAGAAATACCACAGCAACCTAAGTGCCTGCCTGGTTCAAGGACCCAAGTTCGACCCTCAGTGCTGCATGCTGTGCTGGGCACCAAATCCAGGCGTGGTGGTGTATGCCTCTAATCCCAGCACTGGGGAGGCAGAGACAGGAGGATCACTATGAGTTCAAGCTGCATAGTGAGACCCTGTAGAAAAATAACAACAACAACAAAAAAAAAAAAGCCAAAAAAACAAAACAACAAAAGGTTCAGGTAAACTGGAGCTATTTCTGTATGCTCAGTTCTATTCCATTAGTCAGTGTGTCTGTTTTTGTTCCAGAATCATGCTGTTTTTATTACTGTGAACTTTTATAATGTAAAGATTAGGATTATAGTGCTCCTTACTTTGTTCTTATTTCTCAGGATTGCTTTGGCTATTCTGGGTCTCTTCTAGTTGTATATAAATATTAGGATTGATTTTTCTAGTTCTATGAAAAATGCTTGTGGCATTTTGATTGAAAACACATCAAATATATAATTTTTGGTAATATAGCTATTTTGACAATATTGAGTCTGCCTATCTAGGAATAGCAGGCATTTTCCACCTTTTATTGTCTTCTTCAATCTCTTTTTTTCAGAGTGCTATAGTTTTAGTTATAGATGTCTTTCACTTTTTCATTAGGATAATTCCTAGGTACCTAATTTTATAAGCTACCTTTAATGGTGGTGTGGTTGTGTCTAGATGTCCCTCCAAAACCTCATGCTGTCATAGGTGAGACTTTTTAGAGGTGGTTGGATCTAGAGTGTGTGATACTGGGATTAAATGTATAATACGGAGATTAAGCATATGTGATTATTAAATTAGTCTACTGATTGATTTGGTATAGTTCTGGATATGGATAATGGGAAGGCCCACTCTGCCTGTGAGTGCTACTGCCCTAAAGGTGTATAGCTTGGAAAGAATATGAGGAACAGAAAGAGGGGTGCTGCCACCACTTGTTGCTTGCTTCTTTGCTGCCTTATGCCACCATGAACTGTTTCCTCTCTGTGATGTCTCTCTGTCACACAACCCTGCCTCCCAGCCAGTTGACTAGGAAGTGAAACAACCTGTGAACCAAAATAAACTTTTCCTTCTTTAACTTTTGGTGTCATATTTTATCTTAGCAACATGAAAAAGTAGCTAAGACAAATGGGATTGTTTTCCTTATTTCTTTTTGGTGGATTCATTTGTGTGTGTGTGTGTGTGTGTGTGTGTGTGTGTGTGTAGGAATACTATTGATTATCACATGTTTTTTTTTTCCTATGCTGCCAGTTTGCTGAATTTGTTTATTAGCTCTGACAAACTTTAGGTCTTCTATGGAAAGGATCATGTCATATAGAAAAAAGGATAGACTTCTCCCTTTCCTGTTCACATCCTTTCTATCTATTTCTCTTGCCTGATTGCTGTGGCTAACATTTTGAATATTGTACCAAATGAGCGTGGTGAGAATGAACACCATTTTCTTGCTCCTGATTTTAGATGAAATGGTTTCAGTTTTTTCCCCGTGTAATATGATGTTGGCAGAGGGTTTGTTGTAAATAGATTTTAGCAGTTTGAGGAAGGTTGTTCTATACCTATTTTTGTTAGGGTTTTTCATGAGTGGATATTAGCTTTTATCAAAAGCTTTTTCTGCATCTATTGAAGCGATTATGTGATTTTTATCTTTATTCCAGTTTATATGGTGCATTTATTAATTTACCTATATTGAACCATCCTTGAACTGCTGGAATGAAGCTGACTTTGTTAGACTATATGAGCTTCTAATGATTTGATGTATTCTGTTTATAAATACATCATGAGGATTTCTGTATCTATGTTCATTAAAGAAATTGGTTGGTAGTGTTCTTTGTCTGGTTTCATATCAGGGTAATTCTAGCTTCAAATAATGAATTTTGCAGTGTTCCTTCCTTTAAAATTCATGGATATATTTGAGGTGTGTTGGTATTAGTTCTTCCTTAAAATTCTGGTAAAATTTAGTAGTGAATCCATCAGGTCCTGATCTTTTCTTAGTTGGTTGATTTTTAAGAAAACTACTGCCTCTGTTTTCATTCCCCATTATTGGTCTCCTCAGAATTTCAAAATCAGTTCAATTTTGAAATTTATTTGTGTCTAGGAACTTATCCATTTCTTCAAGATTCTCTAACTTACTGGAATATAAAATTTCAACATAGTTTCTTATAACTTTCTCGATTTCAGTATTGTAATTTTGCCATTTTAATTTCTAATTGCTTTATATGAGCTTTCTTTCCTTTTGATAAATTTAGCTAAGGCTTCATCAATGTTGTTTATTTTTTCAAAAAAACAATTTATTGACTCATTGAGCCACTGTATTTCAAAATCTCCATTTCATTAATTTCTGCTCCGATCTTTATAATTTATTTTTTTCTACAAATTTTGGATTTGAATTGCTCTTGTTATTCTAAGACCTTGATATGCATTATTTATTTGGGATTACTCTATTTTTGGGTTATTTATTTGGGATTATTCTATTTTTTTTAATGTGGGCATTCAGTTCTGTAAACTTCCCTCTTAGAATTGCTTTCCTTATATTCCACCCAACATGACATAGTATTGGAAAATAGCTGTGTAGTCTTTTTTCCTGGTATCAGTGCTAAAAGGTACAAATTATTTTATCATGTATAAAGACATTTAATTTATTAAACAAATATCTCTCTCTTGCTCTTGCTCTCACTCTCTCTCTCTCATTGGTACTGGGAATTAAACCTAGAGCTTCTTCACTGAACTACATCCCTAGACCTTTTCAATTTTTTTCCATAAATTTATTGAGAAACAAATAGCAATGAGACACTTTCAAACCAAACTGGTAGGACAGTTTCAATAATTAACACATTGTATACATTCTTCCTAGTGGTTAATTGCTATACAAGATGCAGACATGATATCCTACTTACAAACACCATTAGAACAAATCCCTCTCTATTCATTAAGAGAATGTAATTGTATATTGATCCTAGCCATTTGAATACACAGATACAAAATGGACATTCATCTGCATCCCCATTTTGTTCTTAAGTTCCGTTATTTGAATATTATAAGTGTGTAAACTCAGCAAAATATTCTAAAAGAGTCCAGTAGTCCATAATAGTATTATGTGTTCTGCTTGACTGGTAATGTCAGAAATTGTTGATCCGAGTCCCCTACAGCTCAACATAACAGCATGGCTTTACTTCTTATACTTTGTTTTTATACTTTTCTGCTGGATGGTTAAGACCAAGGTAAAGCAGGACCTATGCAACAAGAGTTGTAGCTTTTGGGTCTGATAAGGTCAGTGAAATCCCCTCAGGATTTATCCTGAGATCCTGTACCTCAGATTGTAGAACCTTTGTCAGTGTCAGCCATGTGGATGAATCGCGGCCACTGCTTGGCCAGTGTGCTCTCTGTGAAAACTTGAGAGAATGTTTTCTCTCTATGTGACTCTCCTTAGGCACACTCTACATCATTGATCACTTTTCTCTTTTTTTTTTTTTTTTACTTTTGAGACAGGGCTGGGCTAAATTGCTTAGGCTGGGCTCAAATTTGTAATTCTCTTGCTTCAGCCTCCAAGAGTGCTAGGATTACATGCTTGTACTACCATATCTGGTTTAAACAAATACTCCTATATTTGATATAGTTGCCCTCTAGAATGCCTATGTCTATCTATCTATTATCTATCATTTATCTCTATATATCTATATACATATATGATTTATATCTATAGCTATGTCTTAGTTACTTTTCTTGTTGCTGAGACAAAATACCTCACACTCAGAACTAAGGCATAAGAGGTTTATTTAGCTTATGATTTGTGGAGGTTTCAGTCCATAGTTGGTTGGCTCCATGGCAGGGTGACACATGGCAGGGGGGATGGCAGCAGAAGATAGCAAAACTATCAAAGGCAAAGAGGAGGAGCAAGTCTCTTTCCTATCCCTTACATTGTATGTAGGCTACCTACCCTAGGACTCATGTAGAACTCACACTCCAAATCCCAGCACTAGACAATGGACCAATCACAAACCCTAGATTCAGCCACTTCCAGAAAGCCTGACTCCCCATGACACATGAAGCTTTGGAGGAGCATCCAGACACAAACCATAACAATCACTCCCTCTTCCTCTCTCTGTATTTCTCCCTGTCCCAGTCCCTCTCCCTCCCTCCTTCCTTCTCTCCCACTTTATCTCTCTCTTGGGTTGGGGTACGCAGTGTATGTGAATATATCTATGTTTCCAATATATTTAGAAATAATGCTGTAAGTTCTATGTGAGTTATAAGAGGCCACATTCTTTTTCCTTTCCTTTTTTAAAATTTATTTTTTTGGTGGAACTGGAGATTGAACTCAGGCCCTTGCACTTGCCAGGCAAGTGCTTATTCTACCGAGCTATCTGGTTGGCATTTTCTCCTTTTCTTGATGCATATCTTTTTGTTCTCCCACCTTTTTAGATCAAGATACTTTTTGGGTCTTTCTGGTAACTTACCTGCTTTTTTCACAGCTCTATCGTCTGTGTTGGAGCCTGCGCAATAGCAAAGAAGAGCGTATTGACTTGGATGCGGAGGAGGAGCATATCCAAGAGGCTCCAAAGGAGACCATTGAAATAGGTGATTAATGACTCAGTCCATCAAAAGTTACTCCCAAACAGCAGCTTTAATGAAACTTACACAAAATGCCTTTGTCAGAGCTCAAATCTCTTTCCTGCAGCAGGAAATGGGTAGGGGTGTGATGAGATGAATCAATCATTTTAGGAAGTTCACTATGAAGCCTGAGAAGGGAAGAGAGGGAGGTTCAGCCATCTGAGCTTCCTTATCACTCTTGTTGTATGATGCTCCTGAATCAAAGGATGGAGTGTCTGCCATCTGCACTGATTTAGGGCACAGTCATGGATACAAGAATCAGAGAATTTCTGACATAACCTGTGTACTGAGAATAGATGGAACCAAAGATATGTTCAGTTCTAGTGATGTCAGGTGTATGGGATAGAGTCATCCTTGGGAGTTCTTATGCTTTATGTTGTAAAACTTATAAAATCAAATTTCTCTGGAAGCCTGAGATGATACATAGTCTGTGTTCAGAGGCCTATACCTTTAAGTTACTACTGTTTTCAGCTTTCTCATTTCAACTTTTCTTCCCTACAAGGGAGAAGTGAACACATGTAGAATGGATGTGTGTGGCTTGCAGAAGTATAAGCGTTCAAGGTCATGTGCTTTACTTGGCATTAGGCTGAAGCCTCTCTGAAGGAGAATGCACAGAAGAAGTAGACAAGTTCTAAATCTGATCAGGAATGTCACTGAATCCTAGCTCTGAAAAAGGCCCTACAGATTATTTGATCTTATTGCCTCATTTTATAGACACACAAATTGGAGCTCAGGTAGGAAGAGACTTTGTCAGTGGTCCTAACTTGAATACAATCTGCTCATAGTCTCTAAGGACTTTTCAGTCCTGAAACTTCTGACTGATGGAGCCAAAGACAGGTTCTTTGTGTGAGAGTACTTTACATGATACTCCACATATCATAGTGCTATAGGAAATAAAGTGATGCTTGAGTATCAGGATTGGTTACAATTTCCACCATATTGATTGATTTTAAGGAAGAGTTTTCTAATTGGATTGGTCTGGAAAAGGATGGGAAGCATCCAGGATTCTATAGAGGGTAGAACATCCACACTGGCTATAGAATTGATGATGTCTAAAGCTAGGATAACAGACCAAATTGAATTCTCTTGATTCTTGATGAGATCATGGGGGAAATAAAACAGAATATCCTTAAGTACTGAAGCACAACAAACTAAGCTCTCTCGGGGGACCACAAGTGTCACAACTACCATTTTCTGAGAAAGAGCAGCACGAGGAGGCTTGCAGCTGCATCATCATCCTCATATCCTCACCATGTTCCATCATCATATAATTGACTATGATAAGATCATCGAATATTTTAATTATAGATACCTTTTTTAAAAAAATTGTATTTGGTTGTTACATGGTCTCACTGCACAACTCGGACTCGTGGTGATCCTCCTGCTTTCAGCCTCCCCAGCACTGGGATTACAGTCATGTGCCACCACACCTGGACTCTGGCAGACTCAGCCCACCCTGGGGGCAAGGCTGGTGTGACATGTGGTGCTGGGGATTGAATCATGGTCTCTGTGCTTGCCTAAGAGTACCTAAGCAGGCGCTTCAGTCTGCTGAGCTATCTTGCCGGCACCAATTATAAATATCTCAGTCTAATGATTAGCTTTTATGTCAAGTCATCATTTTAAGGTAGATATTGTCAGTATAAATTTTCCAGTTTTACAAATGAGACAAAGAAACTTCCTGAAAGCCTTGTTAGATGCAGGTAAGCATTTATTTCTCAGTTGGCCTGGTCAGTGAGCTCAACACTTTTTGCCCTTTTACCAACTTACTGATTTGGTAGAGTGAGTCAAAACAGAGAGGTACATGAAAGCTTGGCTCTTTCAGGTGGGAGAGAAAAGGGAAGGAGAGGTGAGGGGAAGAGTTAGTCTGTTGTGAACCACTAGAATTGATGGATGTAGCCAGTTCACTCCTTAGTCAACCAGCCTCATTGCTTTCCAGTGATGGAGAAAACAAACATGAGCTTATGTACTTCAGATGTGGGCTTTTCATGTGCTTTTTCTGTTACAGTTCTCCAGTCCATTGCTAACACTTCTCTTTCATAAACTATTACTTAATGTGATTGTTTTAAATAAAAATGAATGTATGTTGATTCTGATAGAAATAAAATTCAAGGTAATTGATCCCAAGGACATAGAATCCTTCTAGTAACAATGTTTTAATTGTAAATTCATTTGTCTGTATTATACTGTTCCAGTTCCTGAAAATGGGAGCGCTGGGCATTTACCACCAAATAGTAGATTAAATGCTGTATGGAATTGCACCGCCCCTGGAAGTCGCTTCTATTTCCTCTTGGATCTATGTCTGATGATGCTTTATGTCTTGCTCTTGATACAGAAGTTCCTGGGGAGAAAAAAGGATGCTTCAGGAGGGCCTATGACCTATTCTGTGGGCTGGAACAGAAGGGACCCAAGTTGAGCAAAGAGGAAGAAGAGGCCATGAAGATGAAGTTGACAGACACCTCGGAGAAGCCTTTGTGGAGGACAGTAGTGAACGTCAATGGCATCATCCTGCTGACTGTGGCTGTCTTTTGCTATGCATACTTTGCATAAGTTCTGTCTTTGGCCATAGGCCTCCAGGCTGGCATCTTTACTCCACCTTCCTTTGGTGCCATTCTGTGGTACAGAAGGGAATTTGGTCTGTTGTAAAGTTTGCCCAGTTAGATAAATGGGTACATGTGTAATTATAGGCAAGTGGGAGAAAAATCATTATTTCACTGTTAACTTATGTATTTGAAGCCAGTGTAATACAGCCATCTGTACATAATAAAGTTCCAGAAGGAAAGTTCAGGAAAAAGTCAAGCTAGGAACAGAAGCCCTGGGATATCTGATGGAAGTCAGCTGTATGTGCCAGCCTTATTTATAATCCTTAAATATTATTTTTAGCATTTGGTCTCCCCGGTTTCTTACTTTCTGACCTTCTTCTAATTAAAGAAAACTAAAGAAATCTCTTTCCTGACATCATATCCCTCTCAGATTTTTGTCAGTATAAGAAAAATTAATCTAATAGACTGATGAATGCGTGAAAGCTGACAGTGGGAGCTTGAGATGTTCCTACCCTGGGCATTTGTTCTTTGAGGAGGAAGCCTTAGAAATGTAAAACTTGCCCAAAAGGGAGGGACCCAGGCCTCAGTCTGAGGCTAGTGGAGAAACAGATAATCTTGAGTCCAGGGAATTTTCTGTACTTAAACATGTTTATTGTGTGTTTCCTGTGTTTGGGATTCACTTATTTTGGCATTCACCGTGCCTGGATTGTCTTAACCACTCAATGATGTTTGTTGGCTGAATAAATAATTTGGGCATTTATTTATAGATACTTGTCTGGCCCTTGGTTAATGTGTTTTTTTAATTTTTTTTTGTCTGCATAAAGTACATGGTAGAGTTAGAATGCACTCGCCAGAGCCTGCACTGTCTCATAGTCTGACATTGACAAATGAAACTTAGAAGGTGACACTACATTACATGGCAGAGCAAATACATCTGCTGGGACATCCATCATCTCAAGAAGGCAGTCCTCTGCCAAGAAGCACTGAAACAGTTACTGTATCCTGAGATTCTCCTCCCTATGAGTTCACATCACCACAACTATTTCTTTGTAGGGTGCTTTGATCGGCAATAATCTACTGATAAAAGTTAGGGCAGGTGTTTTATTGTTCCAGATGGCACCTTTAGCTGAAAGGAGTGTGTTTCTTGTAGTTTCAGAGGGACAGTTATTTTCATTTAATGTAAATTAAATTAATTAATTTAAAAAGCTCTATGTGTGAAATATCAGTGATGTGATTCCACTGAAGTTAAAAGTCAACATGGGGGCATTGACTGGTTTAAGGCTATCTTAGAAAAATGCTGTGTGTGGTTTCAGGGTATGGTAATTGCTCAACAGATGAAGAAATGGCTTTTTCTTAGAGCAGGAAGGGCAGTTGGAGAGCATTATTTGAAGTACCTTCTCATTCCCATTAAGCTACACAGAAAAGGAGGAAAAGTGGAGAGTTTGATATGGTCAGAATTACTCAGAGGACTCAGTGTTGTATGGATTTTTTGATATGTTTGGAGTGGATAAAGGGAGAGGATTGAAAACCATTGGTTGGAATGGGCAATTAAACTGTCTGGGTTATCCTATCTTGATGCCATTTTGGGCTTGGCTAGTGAATTACTGTATATATTGTGGTAAATTATCTCATCTCTACTATGTACTTTTCTCTTTCAAAGAGGGAGAACTTGATGCTTACAGCATTTACTTGCTTCCTTAAGTGTGAAAAGGACACTTTGAGGGAATGGAAGATGCATACATGAAAAAGGCTATATAGGTGCTATATTAAAGTACATTATAGTTTCATCAATTGAAATGTATTAATTTGATAAAAACAAAAACTGTAAAAACTCTAACACTTAGAGAGTGAACTAACATTTATAAATAGCAAACATAAACTTAATTAGCATACAACATGGAGTAGGAGGCAGGAGGTCAGGATGGTTGAGAACAGAATTTAGCAACTTGAACAGTTAAATTATAGCTAAAGTCAGGCATGGTGTGCACCCTACAGTCTCAGTCACTGGAAAGGATAAGGTGGGAGGATCACTTAACCTCAGAATTTAAGCCTAGCCTGGGCAGCATAGCGAAACACATCTCAAAAAAACAAAACAAAACAAAACAAAACAAAACAAAACAAAAAACCATATAAATTTGAAGAGGATGTTTGGCTTCAAAACCTTTAGAAGCATAAGGCCAGTAACTTTATCTTCATAATGTGCCTTTAGAGTAATCTGAGCCATTTGGGTAACTTGGGGCCAGTAAATGCTAACTTGTATTAGAATACAAGTACAAGGGGTGCAGGGAATATTTAGTTTTTTCCTCAAATTGAAGGTGGCATTATACGTGGGGCAGAATGACTGTCATTATGCTCAGTTTATAGATCTGAAAAAATAATGTCTTATTGAGTCAAAAAGTTTCTTTAAATATATAATTTAAAAATGAATTTCTTAAGACAAAAACATAAATTTCCTCCCCTGAAAAGCAAAGTTGGTCCTGGATCCCTTGACTGACATGGGAACGTTGCTTACTTCTGTACAGCTGAGTCAGGCACTGGTGTTCATTTAGTACATTTCTAACTTTGGAATGCACCAGAACTTGTTCTTTCTTAGTGCTGAATGCATCTCCTAAATATGCAAAGGTGCTTGAGTTTTTCTCCCAAGCAAACCTTGGGAGAAAACTATGTGTTCTTGGTTGGAAGAGAGCCGTTTTGCATCAATACCCCCCATTGCATCCCAAGAAAAAATCTCACCTACCCTGTAGATTATAATATGGTGTGCAAGGTTGAATCAGTTGCCC